AATTTTCAATATTTATTTTATATTATTTACTAATGTTAAATTCTATTCCGCTTCGATTTCCAAATTGCTTGAAATACGAAAGAATCGACGATTTTTCGTGTTTTTTGCCAGCTAAATTGTCAAAGACATTCTTATTCCACACACTAATTTCATTCGAAAATAGTAGGCGAGCCAACAAAACAATTTTTGCATTTTTATGCATTTACAAAGCCATTTTATCGCGAAAATGTCGAACAAATTTTTTTATTATTGAATTGTTTACATTGAACTTAGGCATTGGCCTTTCTCTTTTAATGTTTTCTTTTTCATTATATGATCTCGAGCCAAAACTTTCTCAAAATAAATTTTCAATATCACAATTACATTCCGAATCGCTAGCCGATATAAAAGCTAAAATTAAAAATAAAATTATAAAAACTTACTCGGTGAAATAAAATGTGTGGTGGATATACATACCCGGTACAAAACCTTCTTCAATTGTACGAATATACTTTTTAAATAAAATTATAATTAAATATAACTTTGTAATGAAACGTACATGAAAATAACATAAAATNCTTTCTCACCACACCGGGTTGTATATACTTCAAATAAACAACTATCTACAATTAACCAGTAACCGGTGCGAAATTCTTTAAAATCGGCAAACGTTTTCGATTCCCCTCCTGGGATCTTCTTCAGGCTTACTTTTTTATACCTTTCGTTATAACTGGATTCTTTAATTCGAATGTTTTTGAAAAATATGGAACATGCCATTTTTCGAAAAAATTTCTGAAAGTGGAAGGAATCCACGTGTTATATCAAAAACTATGTATCTATGTACACATTCTGTATTTCATCCAAATACTATTTTTACTATTATGAATTTTAAAAATTATAAAATACTTACGTCATCTTGTAATAACTTATTTCTTTCACTTTCCTCTTTCATACTATATGAACATATTATTTGTTCTCCTATACAGTTTAAAGTCATAATGATAAATAACCATAACCGAGCATCTTGAGTTCTTGTAGTGGAAGTCAATAAATATGAAACAAAAATTGACACTACATAAAACACTATGGTATAAAACCCAACAAAACCACCTAAAATAAGAGCATTTAATTTATTAATCTGCTCAAAGACTTCAAAAATTAAAATTCTGTGTTCTTGAGTAGTAGATTTAAGCTCCTGAAAGACATTTTTAATATTCTCTCTGGACTTTTCAATTTGGCTATTAAGATCATTACCAGATTTCAACATTTTCTGCTGTTCATCCAGAGAGACACTCTGTAATTTTAATATTTCCATTTGCTTCTCCGAGGCCAGTTCCAACTTATAACTCAACCGTTTCGAAGTTGCCGACAGTTTACGAACAGTACCTTCAACTTCGTTTTGCCAAACTTGGCTCTGTAAGAAGAAGCATATACTTTGAGTATGCGTAAAAAATTCAGTGTAAGAAGTAAAAATTCTTTCATTCATATCCTTCATGCATTCTGCAATATCTACATGCGATGGGCAGGGATCAATTTTCAATCCGAGTTTTAGAAGAAAACATCTGGCAAATGAGAAAGCCAATCTACTTTGTATTTCTTCGTTTAATTGTTTACATCCCAAATGCAATTCTTCCACAGCTTTAATCCAGCAATCACCGTACAATGGTATTTGATTACGTAAAAGTTCGTAACGATTTTTACCATCTATCATTTCCAGCTGTTGAGTTGGTAAAAGTTCAAATTTTGCCATATTGAAATGATCTTCCGTTTGAAATTTTAAAGTTTTTATCAACGTAAAAAATACGTAGAGCAGCAACAAGTTTCTGCTTGACATTTTTAAACTCTCCCTCCTCGTCTAATAACGGCAGTAGGGAATTTTTTTTTACATTTTCTGATTGGTTGTTTTAACAATTTAATCGGTACATGGAAATGAAAATTGAGTAATTAAGCATGAGTTCGTTTAATTGTATAAATTAAATATAGATTTTTTTGTAAATTATTCTTTGTTAGAAAAGCATTAGCAGATTTCAGGTAGATTTATTCATTTAGACAATGGGTTAATTTATTATAATTAATTGAAACTATTCGATATACGTTATTATAATTGTAAGGTATTATTATTTGTGTCTTCTTCTATAAGAAAATGACAATTATTATACGTCACAAAAGTAATAATTTTATTTCGGATTTAAAAACTATTTTAAAGAAGGACAAGTCGAAGCCCCTGTGGCCTAATGGATAAGGCATCGGTCTCCTAAACCGGGGATTGCGGGTTCGAGTCCCGCCAGGGGTATTTATTTTGTTTTAGTTTTTAAATAATTGTATAAAATCATTCGAGGTTACTACTTAATACTTTTAATAGAATTTGTTATCGTTATTCTTGTAATTCTTATTTAAAGAATATTTTTAATAGATACATTGTTTTCCGATAGATGGCGCTATGTATACTTAAAATAACGTTCATATTAAATTTGCTATAGATTTTATTACAGTAGAGAGTAGATTATCCGAATCAATTGGGGACGGGGGCTGTTCGGAAGATCGATGTTTCGGATAACCGATTATGTACGAAAAATATAACCTATCCCATCCCATCTTGACATTTTTCTCCGTTGCGTGTCGCTTCGCGTTGAATTTTCGTCGATGTTAAGCCTAACGAAGACTATTGTATCGTTAAAAATTATTTTTTTATTTTGTACAAACAAAATAAATATATTGAAAAATATAAAAACAATAAAAATTATACTTCAGAAGTTAATTTAGTATCAAAAACGTAAAATATTTGAGTAGCCCAAGACATGGCCAGAATCGGTAGATTAACTGGTCTTTCGACTAATAGTTCAAACTTAGCTAGAGACAATATTTGCCGCTAGTTGGCGCCACTGTTAACAGGAGAGCGTTGTTCTTGCTAGGTATATACTGAAGTAAGTGATTTTGACCTATAATTGTTTTTTTTAGCTACATAAAAATGCCAACGTGCTTTGTGCCAGGATGCAAGGCAGGATATAAGTCATCGAACGAGAAGAGACATTTATGAAGTGCTAAATTCTCCATATAAACAAAGAAGAATAAGAAAGAAGAAGAGACATTTATTTCGTGTTCCTAGAGATAAGATTGAGGAGTGGATGCGATGCATTCCACGAGACGACAAGATGCTAACAAATAAATGTTACGTTTGTGACGTACATTTTGCGAGTAGATTTATTTTAAAAATCTTCTCTTTCTCACCACACCGGGTTGTATATACTTCAAATAAACAACTATCTACAATTAACCAGTAACCGGTGCAAAATTCTTTAAAATCGGCGAACGTTTTTGATTCCCCTCCTGGGATCTTCTTCAGGCTTACTTTTTTATACCTTTCGTTATAACTGGATTCTTTAATTCGAATGTTTTTGAAAAATATGGAACATGCCATTTTTCGAAAAAATTTCTGAAAGTGGAAGGAATCCACGTGTTATATCAAAAACTATGTATNAGAAAGTAGAAATTCCACGAGATCGCTGGGCATTAACGTCGGATGCATATCCATCAAACTTCCCTAATTGTCCTAAGTATATTAGTAAGTCTGTACCTCAAAAACGATCAACGCGATGTCTCGCAAGAAATGAAGAACCATCTAGGAAGGGATCACGAAAAGACAATACCAAAGGTAAATATAAATACTGTATGTAATCTTAATCCTCAGTGAGTCATGTAATTTTTTGCCCTTGCCTGAGTCGCAGTGCGTCTCTCGGACCATGTGTTTTAATATAAAATTAAATTTTATCTATATTTAAGGAACATTTTATATTTAAAAATGTTAACTAAAGATTGAGCTGGGTTTGTGAGATCCACTATGATTCACTGAGGGCTATCTCTCTGTGGCCCATCTTTTCTTATAAATACTTTAAGATTAATTGTCTGATATTTTTTTTTTATCAATCATTAGATTTGCATGATACACACTCCCAAGTAACAACTGTAGAAAAGGAAATAGAAGACCCTCCACATCTGAAGCAGCAACTATACAGCATCCTGAGCTGTTATATGTCAATAAAATCTCTGCCTTACAATCTGAATTATTAAAAGTCAAAGAGGATTTATATCGGTGCAGAAAGCAAAAGATGATCTATAGGAAGAAACTGAAAACTCTTCAAACAGAAAATCTCAAGTTTCATCAAGAAAATACTGAACTTAAAATAAAACAGTTGTTGGCTGATAAACTTGATTCCTTACCACTGAGATATTCGCCCGAGACAATGCTCATTTACAAACCCTGCTGCAGATAGACAAGTGCTGGCTATTATTGATGTACCACATATTTTAAAATGTATGCAAAATAATCTTTTGAAAAGTAGATACTTTCAGGTAAAACTAAGAAAATAAAGTGTTTTCACTTAAAGCCATTGCATTATTTTTCATTTTTACTTTTAGTTTCCTGAAGGAAGGGTAGAATTGCAGCATTTTAAAGCAGTTGTTGATGAAGATTCCAAATTACCAAAGGGATTAAAGGCATGCATGTCCTTGCATTTTTTCACGCGAACGATTAATCTCAATCATTTATTTCATCAGTTGAAAGTAAAAAACATAGAAAATTTTCTCACTTAAAGTAAATTTTAATAACGCAAATAATGATAATAATAATATGTTTTGAAACCGTGTTTTGCGAATATATTGGACTTCGAACTCACATTTGAGTTATAAATAAACACTTGGCTTTATTTCCATCATTTTAGTTGATACGTGACAACAGCACGTTTCGGGCATAAAGCCCCTCATCAGTCAACTAAAAAATATATATACAATTTAAAAAAAAAAATTGTTTTTTAAAAATTGTATATAGGGGAGACCGGGGCAAGATCGGCATGTTAAGCTTTACTTAAATTTTGTGTAATAAATACTGCTGTAAACTGAAAAAAAAGCTTTGCATATTGTCTATTGGAATGTTACCTTACTATAGAACTGGTTAAAATCAGTTT